GTTGTCATTGGGCAAGGAATTCAGGTCAAAAACCCCAGAATGCCAAACTCTCAAGCACAATTGTCCTGCTACACTTCTGTTCCTGAGTACTCCCTGTTGAAGATTGGGGGGCTGAATCCAACTGATTAACGGGAGGCCCCTCAGCTAGCAGCCTGCTAGATGACGGCCAGAAGCTTGCATAACCACAGTTGACCAGCCATGAAATATCATATAGCTTGCCTAGACCCCAAACCCTTTCAAATGCCAGAATAAGTACTCTACGTGGTACATAGCCTACCTTTTTCCAGGGATACGGTGAAGGTAGAGGCAATCTGCAGTGAGCTCTTGCCCAGACCCTGTTGCCCCCAGAAGGGCACCTCAGACCCTCAATATTGAACTACTCTTTCCCAGTAACCCCTATCACATGCAGCATCACAAAACAAATCCATGATAAACACCCTACCTCGTACAAAGATGCTCTTAGCATGTAACACCCATTTTTGGGTGGTACTGGGGCTCTTAGGAATGAGGACTCCGATTTCCTGAAGATTTGTCAACAGAGACATCGACAGCAGCTCCCCAAACCTTAGGGGAATGCAGCACCGTGCATCCTCCATCGAGAGGTAGCACTCCGACATCATCTTCAGGAAGAGGCGCGCATAGAGGGCAAAGAGGTCCATGTGCGAGCTTCGCATCATTACCTGAAACTTCCCTAGACCCTGAAACCCTAAACCTTACTCGTGAAACCTGGGATGGGACCACTAGGCCACCTAACTCAAGATCTATAAGCCCTGAAACCCAGACCTCGAGCTGCGAACCCTCATTAGACTTTATGGCCTTAAGGGCCCGAGCGTCCAGCAAGTTAATGCGGTAGTAGATGTTCCAAAGTCTATGCTTTTCTGGTACAGTAACTGCAAACTAATACTTTCACCCTGTGGGTTCAAGTGCCCAAACAGTTAATCACGTTGTATAGGTTCTAAGCGCGATGCTTCGAATTGCTTTCGGTAACTGAAGCCTGATATTGGGCACTCGGACCATCAGGGTAATTCGCTGAAACCCACACCATAAACCTCCAAATCCTGAAGCCCTGAATCCTGGGATGGCCTTCCGGAAGCCATCTGCCTCAAGATGGAAAATGTGCGCGCTCTGCGTGCCGCAGCCTAGCAGCAAGCATGTCCATATGTAATTTAGCGGGTTGAGTGATTGAAATGGGGTTTCGGGTTGTGAGGTACCTCAAGCTTTCGCATGCTCGGAGGTAAGGGAACAACATTGGTAAGTCTTCAAACTATTGCATTCGGGCTTCGTTGAGCCTAGGGTTTTGGCTTGAGATCAGGGTAGGGTTGGGTTTGACGCGCATGTAGGGGTGTCTCCAGTTGGAAAAAGCATAAGTGTAGTTAGTTCAAGGCTAAGAAGGGTATAGCATTGACAGTTATCCGGGCTTCTACATGGTACCCCCACCCCACAATGATCTACCTTTTGTTAGGGTTGTAGCCTTTCTCATAGGTATATGGGAGGTGCCTTATTCTAACATGTAGGTAGGGGGGATGTCTTACTGTTAAATGTGCGACGCAGCTGTTCTGCACGACCTCAGGATCAACCAGGGCTAGGGAAGATCGAGCTTCAATCTCGGAGATTGAAGCTCCATCTTCCCTACTTGGAGGCCCAGGGGACTAAGTAACTACTTATAGCTGGGCTTATAGCCCTACTTAGTCCCTGGCCTTGGATTGAAGGTTGAAAATTGAAGACCCTCAGGAAACCCTCTTCAATCCAGGCCTTGGCCCCTCATGAGATTGAATGTACTGTAAAGATTATATTATATTGGGGTTATATTGGGATAGTGGAAAAGAAAATGGAAACTATTCTATTAGGGTTATATAGGTGTCTTTTCTGGAGGCTTGAGGCTAGGATTGAAGAAGCTTTCCTGTGAGGATCTTCAATCTTCAATCCAGGGCTAGGGGAGGTTGAACTTCAATCTCCGAGATTTAGGGTTTACGGTTTAGGGCTTAGGGTTTAGGGTTTACGGTTTAGGGCTTAGGGTTTAGGGTTTAGGGCTTAGGGTTTAGGGCTTAGGGTTTAGGGTATCGAAGCTCAATCTTTTAGGGGCCTTCCCAAGATAACCGAAGCGCGTGTACGTGTAGCGGGGCACCATGGAAATCACTTGCATACATACGCTCCGCCGACCATGTTTTCAAGCCTGTTTGTGGCGCAATAAATGAATGGCATGAATTGGCATGAATTAAGAAAACTAATTCGACCTCATGTTTTTCAATTAATGTCTTTGATTAAAGCATCTTATCTAGTTTAACTTACACAGGAGAATTCATGGCTTGGGAGGGCCTGAATTAGATTTATGCATTTACGTAATTTATCTTGTGCCGAAAGTAACTTCAGTAAGTTAGATAAACTTTTTCCATCTCCTCCAGCCCTTTATGCCTCAGATAGCCTTTTTAACTTTAATTAGATATATCCCGTTTGCTAAGTTAATTAGGCTGGAGTCAATTTAGCAAATGTATTCAATTTAAACTTTGTACACTCAATAAAATACTCAAATTAAGTTGGGTCGAACTAATTTCCGTAGTTTATGTAGCTTCTCTGGGGCCAAAAGTATATTAAATCAGTTAATTAAATCCATTACGTTCGAACTGATTTCAGTAACTGATTTATTGTAGAGCTCAAGTACTTGAATTAATTACTTAAATTCAGCGTCCAAATAGTCCCTAAAAGGAACTCTATCATACGTGTATATATGTCCGTTCGGTAGCGGCACTTAGAATCTAAATCTAACAAAGAATTCTCAAATGCTGGACTCCGGCAATTGCACTCAGTACACATAAAACATGTTTTTTTCCAAAAATGCCTCGAAATCTATATACGCCCTGTACTACATTAGTTTTGAACTGAAAAGACAAGTCTCTGATACTGGACGAATGCTTAGATCCTGGGCTCATTCTTTTCTCCAGATAAAGCCGGTACTATATTGGTTGTGAATCTCGAGGATTCTTCTGCGATCCTGGTCTCCTCATTAAACCCAAACCTTGTCTAAATGCGCACCGAATGCTAAATTCTAAAGTCCTGGGCTCCTTATGTCATTCTAATTCTATATCTATGTGTATATATATATATATCTAGTCCCTGACTAACTGTGCTTAGAATTGTTCACAAAAAATCTCACATGCTGGGCTCCTGCCTTGGTATATATGGAGCCCTTACCGAACGTGCTCTGAATTCACGAGCTCAAGCTTTGTGTCTCTTGTATCTTCCTGGAACTGTATTTCTCTTGAAATGCAAATACGAGTAATGAAGTGTGACTTGGTTCTAAGCACGGAACCTTCTCCATGTAAGGCGGGAGTTCAAGCTCGAGTTGATTCTACTGAGTTTGCTTTTTGCTCTCAAACAAAAAAAGGAACTGCAGCTTTCACTTCTCACAAGTCAATTGTATCTCTCTTGTATCCTTATTGCGAATAGGAGAGAATTCTATTCACTTCCATTCCTCGGAAGACATAATTGGAGGTTAGAGGTATGAGGCTTCGCATGGCTCGTGAACAGTTCCACAGACCTACACGTTCGTTTCCACAGAAGGGTCCTGGAGCTTAGAAAGGTTGATATTTTGGAGCTGAAAACAATATTTTTTGGGGGGCGGGGGTGTTCTACATTAGATTTGGTTTGGGCTTGGCTTAGATTTTTTTGTGGGGTTTGTCACGTCTTCGGATGCTGCATGAAAAAGTTAGGTATTTTGGGTCAGGGATGCGGCTTCGGGGGTCGAGGAGGGAGCCCGTGTACACCATCAAAAGGCTCGCCCCTATGTACCAAAATACGAGCAAATGTCTATGTACATCTGTATATATATATATATGTAAAAATTATATGTAGTGATCATTGTGTCATAAACCGTTAACTTTACTCTTGGGATTTAAGGTTTAGAGTTTCGGGTTTAGGGTCCCTAAACTCTATAAACCCTAAGCCCTAAACCTTCAATTATATGTGGGAAGCGCCTTAGGGGACCATGGGGATGTATGCGGATTTTCCGGGTCTTGGCTTCAGTCGCTGTTCAGAAAATCGGGAGGGGTGGAATTGGTGCCTGGACCCGTCTTGGAATAGCAACCCCCGTATCAGAATGCACTCAGGGAAATTTGCGGGGATTACGGAGAGATTCTAAGGAAACAATGGAAACAGTCTTCCGCGTGCCCTGTAGTCTTTCGACCTGTCGAGACCTAAATCCCAACCTCATTTCGCAAAACCAGTTGAACTCGCAACCAAACCCCAACAGTTCAACCTACTTACTGGTTCTTAGTAGGGAACGAGTGAATACAATCCCTGTATAACAAATTCCCTTATTCCCTACTGACTCCCAGCAAGCCTATTGCCCACGCACTCCTCCCCTCCCTGCCCTGTTTTGCCTAGCCGTCCGCGATACTCCCAGTTCCTTGGCTTTTGTCATTGCAGGGCATACACAGATCCTACTGAATAGGAACCCTATAGAAGCTCTACAGACCCTCCAGAGACACCCCTAGTCTGTTTGTGAACATGAAGTGGTTGCTTGGAAATGGACTGCTAGGGTGAGATGGACTGCCGACCTTATAGCTGAGCACAAGATCTTGCCTCGTATACCACCAGAGTAATGACCTAAGAAAACAATGCAATAACAGGATATAATACTATAATCGTCTCAATGATAGAAGGATACCAACAATCAGACAAGGATATCCATACATACCCCCATGTGAATCAGAAACGCGAACAACAATTTTCTCATTGTCAGAAGCTGCTGAGCTAGTAGCCTCGGGGGTCGGGGATGCCTCATTCTCATGGATCCCAAGCGGGAGTGCCACTTTTGGGGCAATGCCATGTCAGTGGATACAATATTGCTGCCTACCTTTTCTGGGTTACATCCTACAAAGACATAGGACACAAGCCCCAAAAAGGAAGGAACCCAGGTACAGAGAATAGTGCTGTCTGCGTAGCAAACTCCAACAGACTGTAGGACATTACCAGGTTATAGCTTGAGCTTGTGGTTGTCGAACCTTATGCCCTCAGTCCCAGGACGGCCTATGTGGGACAAGCCCAGGTTCAACCACAGCGCTGCTTCGCTCACGCGCATTTCCGGGACAACCTCCTGCCAAACTGCAAGAAGTGTATGGTAAGGGCACCATGCCTGCCTGAATCTCCCAGGATCGTGGGTTTGGGCGCCGCATTTCCTGTTGTATCGCTTTTCCTTTGCACAGAACTCGCATGTGTGTCTCAGCACTTGATTCAACTCTTCGTGTTTGGGGTAATCTGCATGGGGGACCCCACTATGACTAAAAGAAGAGTAGTGCCCAACACCGCCCAATATCAGAATCACGGAGCAGCAGCTGCAAGGCCTGGACCCATGTCGCAGATAACGGGTCCTCGATGAGATGCGGTGTAACTTCCCAGCTGTAGTGCAGCTTGCCATCTCGGACGAAATACATCAAATCACCTTTGGCACCTGGCAGATTTGCGTGAATAGGGGAAACGTGCGGGATGGCCAGGCATATGTCCCGACACAGATCGTGATTGTACTGGCGCGGGAAGGCCAGGAGTCCGTGATACCCTGGCTGGTGTTCACGGTGCCAGTGATGGTTGCTGGCGTTTGCAGTGGTGGCTTATTCTGGTACCCCTAATGTGCCGTGATCTAGTTCACAAGCAAAAGGGGCCAAGAATTTTCAGAATAACCCATATACCTCCAACAATCTCCAATACTGACTAGGGGGAGGGTGTAGGTGGAGGACAGCCGGCCAAAGCTGGGCCAAGTAGGATAGGAATGCTTTTGTGGCTTTGAGGTATTCTGTATACTATAGCACCATAATTCCCAAAAAAATCGGGCCATCAAGGATTTTCGGTATCAACCTCCCGTTATCCTTCAGTGCGCGGTACCTCCCTGGAGACTGCCTGTGCATAAGTGAGTGTGTAACCTTTGGAAGCATGGGAAACATCAAGTACATGAATACCGCTAGACTCTAGACCTAGATCCCCCACCTACCCCCTATCACATCCTAAATACCCATTGCTAGGGACCATACACCCCCATTTAAGGGTACGAGGAGGGTCTTGGGACACAGTTCTCACTTCCTTGCAAATCCTATGGGCTCTCCTAAACCCTAAGGGTCCAAGTATCTCATAATCAGATACTTACCCCAAACCTATGCTATAATTACTATTACCCAAAGCCCAAGTACCTAATTATTGGGTACTTGGACCCCACGTAAACCCTCAACCCTAAACCCCGCATACCCCTACATATATATATATATATACACCCCCGTATATCCCCTTTTAATGGGACCTAGTTATTGGTACTTGGACCCTAAACCCTAAACCCCAGATATCCCCTTTAAAGGGACTTAAGTATTGGGTACTTGAACCCTCGGGAAAAAGCTCCCCCCCCCCCTACAGTACCCGCCCTAAGACTGCCGCCCCCTCCCTTTCCGCTAGTAAGGGAGCCTATATGAGAACTCCGATAGCCACATTATAGGATTACATAGGGTCATTATTCTCATTTTTAAGGTTTTATAGGGTTTTTTATTATGATTAAAGAACTATTATTGGTTAAGATTGTTAGTATTACTGTTATTGTTGGAAATCATAATTAGGTTTCTACATAATGGTGGGCGGCGTGGCACGTTGCTTTGGGGTTCAAAGTTTACGGGTTCGGATGTACGGCCCCGGGCATCCCATCGGCATCTGATGAGTCCAGTCAATAGGCTTTGGATTAAGGGGTTTAGGGTTCGTTTAGGGTTTGAGGGTCCCAAGCGATTAGTTTCGGGTTTGCGGGCGGTACCGTGGGGTATGGTTGGGCTGTGAATGGGTAGATTTCCCTATATCGATGCTTAGCCCACACCCTGAGACCCTCAAAACTTGGCATCCTCCAAAGAGCGGCCTGAGCAACCACTCCCTTTATGTTTCTAAAGGGTTGGTATGGAGTTCTGTTTTGGTTTCACGGGAGAACCCTCAGTCTGAATACTGTAGGAGCCTAAATAATTGCCAATATCATCGTGAGGTCCAGGTGAGGTATCCTATGAACTATGGGCATGCAAGGAGCCGAGGACCGTAATGTTGGTAATATTGGGTAATCCTACGTTTTCTTGGTTGGGCTCTAGACTTTGAACCACTCAGCACCTGCTTGAAAAAGCTCCTCTCTGTACACGACGCTCAGCTCCTGCTGTGCTGTAAGCAGGACGAGCAGCAGGGCGCTCTGATATGGGAATCCATGATCATCGTATGGGCAGTTGGAGTCGGGGGTATAGTTCCTTAAGTAGATAGAAAATGGAGTATATAGGGATCTTATTACAATATTCCCAAAGCCGTATCCTATCTACTTCAGGGGGACTATAAGTCATCTGCCAAGATCTTACTATTTGGTGGGCTAGGATTCCTTGCCCCTCAGTGGTTCAAACCTTCTACTGAAAACTCGATCACATCCAATTCCTTGCCCCATGATTAATATAGAGTAATTTTGGAGTTGTATAGGGATAATGGAAAGGAAACAGGAAACTGCTTTTTGGGGCTAGGTGATCCTTGGGCCGAGATGGAGACATGACTTTCTGGCAACAAGTGCGAAGCAACATGAGCTTGGTTGTGTCAAAGTGATTGGTATGGCCTTGATGTCTGGCCGCTTTTTCAAGATAATTGCACGCTGCAAGCGCTGAAAAATGTTGCTAGTCAAGCGGCACCCCAGCGGCGCTGATGCAGCTTCACATCTGCTGCACAAGCACAACATCATTGAACCTTGAAGACTAGACTGGTCACAGAAGCAAGTCGACTTCTGGTCAGGAGTCTAAGGCCGGCCTTTATATGTTGAGCCTCTGTGATTCTTGCAAGGACGTCCCGCCCCTGGGGTCCCAAACTGCCCCAGTAGAAGCCACTTACAGGCGTCCGTGAAGAAAGTCAAATAACCTCATGTTGGCAACGTATTTCCCGATTTGAAACGCCCGAACCTCCAGCCCTTCACCAAGAAACGTACGCCATAAGCGCAAAAACCCAAAGCTTTGCCTGTAACTCCAAGTCCCTGAGTATCACACAACTATCAAGTTGGTGGCAATTAGGATTACAAACGAATCCCATCTTCAGACCTTCCCAAGGTCTCCTTCAGAGCATGAGCGCAGAGGGGCGCTACTTCACCATAGTTAATCCTGATGTAGGATCCAAAGATGGTCAGAACCATGGTGGGTTTAGGGTTTAGGGGTATGTTCTGCTGCAACGACACTGGGGTTACCAGGCAAAATGTACCCCCCCTACGTAGTACTAACCAGGTGTCTACATGAGGTAGTTTCCATTAATAGGAGCCACTTATGTACTCCAACACAACAGACTCCTTCTTGTGGGAACACCCACAAAGGGACCCCTAATTTCTGCAAACCCTACCCTAGAAACCAGTATATAAACTCCAGCTTCCATTTAGTTGCCCATTCTCTTTTCCATGTCTTTTTCCATTCTTGGGACAGTATGTCTTTATACGAACCCTATCTTCGTAGTTTCGGGCACCTACACCCACAGTATTTGTGCTCACAGATGTGCGAGCGCCAGGTGTGGAGGGGCATGGAAGCCTAATTCTTCACCTTCCGGTAGGTTAGGGTTTTGGATTTAGGATTTAGGGGCCATCCTTAAAAAGGACAACCGTGTAGGTACCGTAAACTCAGGATCAAAACCGTCTAGGTGTAGGAACGAGGGTAAACTATCAACGAAAATGTTTTCTAATCTACCCCAGGATCAGGGCAGCATGCCGAATCATGCCATGTGTCTCCTCAGAGGTGTAGGGTTCGGAGTTTTAGGGTTTAGGGTTTCTGGATAATTTCGGGCTGAGGTGTTTCGGGTTTCAGCCGTTTTGGTTTGCTTAGAGAGTTGCATAAAGATGTATTATGGTCTCAAGGGATCCAGGTATTACGTCGAGTGCCTGTCAAAGCTGCACACCTAAATTCCCTTGAACCTCTGGAATACTACTCCGAATACGACACCTCAAGCTCGGGCACTTCAAGAACGACTCCCCCTCAATTCAAACAACCACGCGCATGGCAGAGACAAGTGACTGCACATCCTACGCACCCCAAGGCGCGCACAAGATCCTGAACACCAGCCCTCAAGTCCTACCTGAACCTCAAAAGTATGTAACATAATCGCCATTTGGGCTATTTTGCGGGATTTTGGGCTATTATTTTACTCCTTAAGGCTTTAAGGTTTTAGGATTCATGCGGTCTGATCCCAGCATAGCTTTAGACGTGCAAGCTTGGGACGCACCCTGGCACAAATAATTAAACTCACTAGCGTATAAAGTTTTAGGGTTGAGGGCCATGGGTAGAGGCGGTAGAGGATGATAACCTCAGCAAAGTCTGGAAAGACATTGCCGAGTTGATTGCAACGCGCGTGGGAGCTCTTGTATATGTGGTAATGTCCAATATTGACCCGCCAAAATATTCTATGCGTTACTATAAGGACACCCCAGGATGATACCCTTACTTCTTGGAAGCCCCCCCTTGTGAATACAGGTGAGGTTGGTCTAGAGGGCTGGACCGCATAGATGGCATCCGAGGGTGAGGCGTAAGAATGACCATCCCTTGAGACTATGCGAACCCCTTGTACACCGCTGTTCGTCTTTAAGGGGCCTCCTTTTCAAGCCCCACATATATTTGGGAGAGAACTGTCTTGCGTATCTGCAGCAAAAGTGTCCAAAATGGGCATACCGACTTCCTGCTTCCTTGGCTGCTTTTGAAAATTGACAGATAGTCGGGATTGGCAGGCCATGTAGCGTACGGAGCAATCAGGGCTCTTTTGTGACTCAACCTCAAAACCACGATTCTAGGACGACCGCATGGCTGGCAAGGGTCAATGACATTTGAGTCACAACACAAAGAATATTAGAGGATGCTAGAGGGGTGTCTGAGAGCTTTAATGTCAGGGTTTCAGGCTGAGGGCTTTTGAATGACGGTTTGGAATTCTAGTCTTTAAGCTTGAATGTATACGCTGTCCTCTCCTGTGTATGCGACAAACTACATGACGTCTATTTTTGTGTTGCTAAAAATCATGTGCGCTGGTTTCTTGCCCAGAGATCATGTCGCTGGTATCACTCGGCGGCACCCTCATTGTAATCGCCTTGACCCATGTCCGGGCCCTCAAACCTACTACATCCACACACACCCTCGTCGGCGTTCGCTCTCTACTCCGAGGGTAAACTGAAATGAGGGTCCTGCTTGCAGGGGGATGGTCAAACGACGAAGCCTGCCGTTCGCCTTTTCACTTAAGAAATTGGTAGTGAATGACGGGGTTCCCTGAGCGCATGGGTCACGGGGGGCACGCACTTAGTATCCGCAGAGGGATCGGCGGAGAAGTGTGCCTGCTTCTTTAGCACGTGGCTGCGCGACGCAGAAGTAATGTTGCTCGCTTGGCCTGGGACCTAGAAAGGGGACCTTCTGCGCAAGCGTCTTTTTGCACGGGTTTGCGCGAGGATAGCACGCTGTCTTGAACTTGTGCCGGCTTTCGGGTGGCGGGCCTGCCTATTTGAGGATTCGTGCGAAATGGTTTGCATACCCTTTTGCTTGACTGGGCCTTTGGGCCTTTGCCGACCTTGGAGCGCTGTTTCTGGGGCGTTGGCCAGAGTGAACTCCACGTGGAGGAAGCAATGCGCCTGCGGAGCTTGAGAAGCCGGGAGGGATCAGCGCCTTAGGCATGCCTTCCGCGCGTACAACCCCGTGCATCCACTCACTTACTTTCTCGCTCACTCACTCACTCACTCACTCACTCACATCCACACAGTGCCACAAATCCTGAAAACTATATGACCAAAGAAGCTCTAAGCACCATATCCTGCAACATTGTAAGCGCAATGCGAATCCAACAATTCGCTCGACAATCCATGCGAGCTTACAGTAAGAATCATTACGTACCCCTCATCAATTGTAGAAGTGTTAATGGCATTATTGATAGTATCATTATTATTGTTAAGAGTAGTGTTAATATCTAGGCTTATTGTTGATATTTTTATTACTAGCTTTTTCGATTCCGATCTTGGCAGATGTGATCCCTGAAGACCCGCCCACCATCTACGCAATGCCCAGGTGAACCTAGCTAAAACCCTAAACCCTAATCCTCGAACCCAAATGGCTCCACACTAAAGATCCTTTAGCCCTTATACCTGCACCCCAGAAGTATGCAAAATAATGGCCTTTTGAGCGGTTTTAAAATACTTTAAGCTGTTTTCCCCTACTTTTTGAGGGGTCCAAACTCCTAGGAACCCCCCTTAATAACCCCCTTTAGTAGTCCCCTATATAACCTTTAATCCAGGTAAGCGTTAAATCTTACGCCGAGCAGGGAAGCCAGGCTTCAAAGAAGACCGAACCTTGTCCGGAAGATGCTGAAGGGCCGGGATATCACTGAAGACTATCTTGCCTGATTTAGGGTTTAGGGTTTAGGGTAGGGCCGGGATATCACTGAAGACTATCTTGCCTGAGCTTGGAAGGTAAATTCATCCTAGCTTAGGGGTTTTATTGGGGATAATGGAAAATAAAATGAAAACTACTTTTTAGGGTTTAGGGTTCATACCCCAAACCCTAGGGTTTAGGGTTTATACCCTAAACCCTAAACCCTTCAGGGCTTTGGGTTTAGGGATTGGGGTTTCTTCACAATGCACCTGGACCCGGACCTCGATGTCCTTTTTCTGGTTATACAGGGGTTATATGGCAGTTATATTGGGGTTACATTGGGATAATAGAACTCTATAATGTCTTGGGGTTAGATAGGGATAACGGACAAGAAAGTGGAAACTATTAATTAGGGTTTAGGATTCAGGGCCAGGACATGCAGGGTCCAGGGGCTTGTGACGCAGAGTTCAAGGCCTGGGGCCAAGATCAAGATGAATTCATCGTTTCCCTAGTGGTGAGACCCCTGCCTGCTACATTTGCGCGGCTGTAGGTGACATGTGGGTGGTTGTCAAAATTAGGGTCCCTTTTTTGGGTACCCTAAAGATAAGGTGCCGTACTATACTAGGGATCCAAAAAAGGACCATAATCTTGACAACCACCCATGTGCTATGAGGCAGCTGTAGTGGGTAAAGCAAATCCAAAATGTGGGCTTGACAACTTCAGGGCTTGCAGAAATCGGCGAGGCATTCACCGCAGTGTGTCTTCTGTTGCCTTGCCATTTTGAGCTTGGAGTCTGGTTTCAGCATGAACTCGGGAACAAGGACTGCCCATGTGTCTAGAATGGACACGTTCAAACCTCCACTGTCCATACCGACGCCGCTGCAAGCAACATGCCAGAGCTACAACGAATGTCTGTGGGTATATGCTTGACACAAAGTATCGCGATTCAAGAGCTGTAGCATGCACCTACAAGCACCTGGCTGATTCTGCAAAATGGCTTGGGTCTTTCAAGAAACGTGAAAGCGGCCACCATAACCAACTGTCTCCAAAGAAGGATATATCTAATATATCAGCTCGACTTCTCAGCAAACGGTTGCCCATAGATGTTAACCTGCGAAGAGCAGTATGCAGCCCCAAACACTGAACTCCCAGGGGAAGCATGTAAGCTGTACTGCTGGAAACAAGCGGCTGGTCTCCCGACCGATACCCCGCTGCCGTATACAGCGGAGGATGTCCGCGGAGAGTTCCACCGACACCCGCTTCCTAAGACTGGGTTACTGTTAAGGAACATAACTTAAGTTGCTAGAATATGCATCCATGTTTCATTAATCACGGTAACTTCAGTCCAAATTCCTAGCAGCCTACCAGCAAACCCTCAGCTTACGGAGATACAGATCTACATGCAGATGTACGCGTATGCACGTATGTCTGTCTGTCTTCGGACAAAATCAATATGCACATGGTGCAAAGACTCCGGATGTATTTCACTCGGATTCTGGGCATCTCGCGCAACTAAGCTTGCATAAGTTTGCAACAGTTTGGTCCAAGGCATAGACCCAAACAAGAACTCGCTTCAGATTTCATGGTCCTAAGCCCTAACCTCTGGTGGATGTTGAGGGGTCCCGACTGGCCAAGATTCTCCGTGACGTAGCGTCGCACCAGTTGGCCGGTTTTAACCTCTTGAGCTGTAAGCGAACTGAGCCTGCCGGGTTTGATGGCTTTCAAGTCTTCAGGGTGTAGAGGTTCGAGATGGAGGGATTAGGGGTGCAGGCTTTGTAGATTTCAGGGTTCGGGATTTGGGGGCTCAGTGTTTATTAGGAATCCTGTCGGGGTCCTGGGTCTTGAATGTTGTGGGCTCAAGGCCCTGGAACAAGCGAGCTCCTTCAATCAAATAAGTTTGTTTTTGAGCAGGTATTTTGAGAGAGAGGGTGAGAGCTCAACAAAAACAGAAATTGGAGGGCAGAGAGAGAGAGAGAGGGAGAGACCGTGTTTTCTTATTACACAGATGTGGGTTGGCTTCTTTTGTTGTTAATGAGCTGTAACTGTAACGATCACGAAGGAAGTGCAGCCATGTTGATTGCCAAGCCCCCTTTGAAGTTTTAACTTTGCAGCTTGGGCTGATCGGCTGATCCCACGTCATGATTTTTGCGGGACTTGGACTGGCCACTGTCTGTTGAGAGCTGCCTGAGTAGGGAGGTCTTGGGGATCCCAGGAGGTCATGGAGTAATACCTAGACGCCTATACCCTAATGTTGGACCCCTGTATGATGTGTGTTTGGGGTCCGCTTATTCAGGATCAAGGGAGGCCCGCAATAATGTGTTTTGATTTCAGGGCCCGAAAAAGAGAGGAAAGATTCACAAGTCTCCCTTTGAAATCAAGCCACATGGACCTCAGAACTGTGGGAAGTTGAGGGCCCTCATTGAGGGACCTTCTTTTTTGTTTTTTTTGCTGGCCCTATTGCTAGGAGGGGGGAAGGGGGGAACCCCCAGCATTGCCCTTTTCTAGGATACTTAACTTTATGTCTCATATCTTCTTCACAGAACTAGATCCCCAAAAAAGGGGTGGGTATAAAGGCCTAGGTAGAGGGGCTCTGCCTGACTGCATCGAAGTTTTGGTAGGGATTGTATGAAGTGCCCAAATATTCTTGTTGTAGAGCTCCTACTTGCTCACGAATCTAATATTAGTTTCAGCCCCCAACCCGAACCCCTCAGCCCAGATCTTGTGCTAGCGGACGCTAAGGCTTTCCTTAGTACTACGCCAAATATGGGTATTGAACAACATCCCGTCAGCCTTGCCAAGGACTGATTGATGGAGCCAATGAAGAAGCTGAACATGATCAGCCCAGAAAGCGTCGCAAACAGCGAGAAAAAACGCTCCGGGGTATTCCTCGGCAATATCTGGACTTCCTACCAGCATAGACTACAGATACGGTACGTGTGGGAGTTCCAGCTTAAAGACAAGGGTTTGTTGAGTGGTGGGTTTCCGTTTCTAAGGCAGCCTTTACTGGGTTAATGGAGTATCCCAAGATTTGAAAGTATTCATCATAAGGATGCTACTTCCGGAAACGCAATATCCTGTCGAGGGTTGCCCGGACAAGCTTCCCTGATTAGTCTAAACAATCTAGAGCCTCTTGATTGGGAACCATGTGCAAGGCAGCATTGAATTGTAAGCAAGATCACGGCCAAATCCTGCACTGTTAGGCAACAGGACTGAGACACATCTTTCAGGATCCCTTGAAGGGCCACCTGAGCACAGACCATAACCCGAAGAATCCAAATGCCCAAACATATGCTTCGCCGCACAAGGTGTTTTTGTAACAGCCCAGTTCGGCAAAAA